ATACGTATCCTGGAAGAACTAAGATGCTGTCATCGGAGAAATATAAAAGACTGTTTAATATGCCAGAAGATGATTACGGAACATGGGATAACGAATCTGGAATGTCGACACAATTATATAGCCTACATGTGTAAACTTTGTTATGCTTTAATCCTTTTTAAAGATGAACAACAAGGAGATACTGATTTTTTGCCGTATTTAGTGAGTTTTTGCAGGAGTAGTCTGAATCTGCAACTGTTAAAAAAGAAATATACTTATGTTTACGATTTCTTAATTAAGAAACATCCAGAATTGCTTGTTGAACAGGAACCTTCTGTTTCTGAAGAGAACAAACCTTCAAGCAGTGAGCCAATTAAGGAATCCACTCCCCAGACCGAATTAAATTCTGTTAAAAATAAGCCCATTTTGGACTCGGATAATAAATTTAAATTCAGTGCAAGTTGTAAATGCCAACATAATATCGAAATGACTAAATGTAAAAATTGTAACCCGATAAACTTAGACGAACTAAAAAAGAGTAAATGTCTACACTTAATCCCTATTATAGAATGTAATCATTGCAAAAATCTGATCTTAATCCTTAGAAAAGAAAAAGATAGAACCAGAGTTAAATTCATTCAAGACAAAGACTATATCCCTTACACCGAATATGACAAATTATATAATCTAAATCCTAATCCAAAGAAAAATAATACTTATTCTAATAGTAAAAAGAGGAAAACTGACCCTGAGTTAGATGACATCTTAAAAGAAAAAAACCAGAAAAAGAAAATAGAAGGCGAAGGCAATAAAAAAGATACCGATATCCCTCCAGGAAATAATAATAACAAAAGAGATTTTAAAATCCTAGAATCTCAAGAGGAAATGGAACTAGAACAGAATGAGCAGGAAATTGATAAGACCGAACTAAATGAAAAAATAAGAAACGATGATACAGCTAGGAAATTTGAATCAGAAGAAAAACCGGAACAAGAGAAAAAGGAGGATAAAGTAAATTACAAGAAACCTCCCCCAATTTTTATTACGAACGAAGATCCAGAATCTGTTAGGGAACTTTTAATTGGTTATGAAATCAAGGAGTATACCCTAAAAAAAGTTTCAGATAAACAAGTTAAAGTCATACTCAAAACGGAAGTTGATTATAGGAAATTCTTACAGAAATTGCATGATATGGAAGTAAAATTTTACACGTTCCAATTCCCTAGCTGTAAAACGACTAAACGGATACTTAGAGGACTACCATCAGACTATGAAATAGACAAAATTAAATCTAAATTTAAGGATATGGCAACAGATTTGGAATTAAAAAATATTAGGCAAATATATCACATAGTCACAAAAACCCCTTTACCCCTCTTTGAATTAAGCTTCAAACTACAAAGTAAAATATCTGAAAGACTTGAGAAAATTAAGAACATGGATAATTTTGAGATCAGTTTAGAAAAAATAGACCCAAAATTTATAGAAATTCCAATTTGTAAAATTTGTTTAAATTATGGCCATACCAAAAGATTTTGCTCTATGGGAATTACTTGTATAATTTGTACTGGCTCACATTTCAGCTCAGAGTGCCCCATTTCGTTAAAGGCCAAGGAAGATAACAAAAAAGTAACCCCTATATGCTTACATTGTAAAGAGTCCCATTTTACGACATGGAAGGGATGTAATTATTATAAAAAACTTAGGAAAGCAAAATTAGAGAAATTTAGAAAACAGAAAGAATTTGGAAAAGGTGAACACCCCGTGTGTGAGAATGGGACTCCAAAAAATGTAAATAATCCTGATGGAATAGAGATTAAAAAATTGAACAATCAACTCAAGAGTTTGGAGGAGAAGTTTGAAAAAGAAATTTCCCTGCTAAATAAAACAATAGATTTACTCAAAAACGAGA